TTTCAAGGGGAGATAATTTAAAAAAATTAGTGAAAATTTGGTGGTATCTTTTAAAAATCTTCTTCTCAAGAACCACTAGGCCAAAAAAAAAAATGAAAGTTATATGAAACCTTCTTTACATAGTGTAGATTCAGATTTGTTCAAATCATGATCCCCGGGGGTAGGGTGGAGCCACAATGGGAGATCAAATTTTTAAATAGGAATATATATAGGAAAAAATCTTCAAAAATCTTCTTCTCAAGAACAGCAAAGCCAAGTTTGTTCAAATCATAACCCCAGGGAGAAGGGTGGGGGCCACAATAGGGGATCCACGTTTTACATAGGATTATATAGGAAAAAAATCTTCTCAAGAACAGCAAAGCCATGTTTAGTCAGATTGATAAGGAAGCATCCCCAGATGTTGTAGATTCAGGTTTTTTCAAATCATGACCCCCTGGTGATAGGGTGGGGAGGGGGGTAACAATAGAGATATAAGTTTAACATAGAAATATAAAATAGAAAAAAAATCTGCTGATGAAGAACAGCAGGGTCGTATTGACACATGCGAGCATCGTGGCCTATGGGCCTTTTTTTTCATATCCTATTGCTGTGTCATCACAATGGTTTTTGCGTGAAAGTGATGAAGTAAAATGATGTGCATTCATCCATAGAAACAGTGTTAAACATTGATAGTGATGTATAAAACATGATGAAAAGAATCTCCCATGATTTGTGGTTGGATATGATTTTAATCCAATTGTGTGTTTTTATCCCCTTGCCAAGGCTCGGGGATAAAAAAAAACACACAACTCGTTGGATAAAAATCATATCCAACCACAAATCATGGGAGATTCTATTTCTATCCCCCAACCTGTGAGTATAATCTGGTTCAGGACTCATAAAATTAAAAAGGCCATTATTCCGTCAAAATCATCAACGTAAAATGCAATGCATACTTGATCTGTAACTCATGAAGGTACACTCACATACCAAAAATCAGCTCAATATCTGCAAGCGTTTAGAAAAAAAAATGTGGAAAACCAAGTGGGACAAACTGACAGACAGACAGAGGGACAGACAGACGGACGGACGAGGAAAACTATAGTCCCCTAAGATTTAACCTTAGGTGACTAATGAGATGAGCAAAAAATGAAACTGTCCCCCCCCCCCCCCCCCTGAAATTTAAACTCTCTTAAGTAACTAAGGAGAGACACATTCTAATTTATGAAGAAAAGTGGCATGAATCCCCCACCCCTCCCCCACCTTTTTAAGTGAAGTTCCAGGTCTTCCCATTTTAAGGCCATAATAAAAAAAAATCCTAGATTCTCATCCAAATTTTCATAAAAATTGTGGCAAGCGGATGGATTTTGTATTTTATTTCTTTTAATGCAGTCTATGCAGATTTATCTATTTTGCCAAAATAAAAGTAATAGTAGAGTTCCATTTAAATGTTCATGCTAATCATATCACCTACTTACCCTAACCAATCTTTCACAACCCTTGGTCATTGTTTACTACATACTGTAAACATAATTATATACAGTCAAACCTCGTTATCTTGAACTTGACGGGACCAAGAAAAACCTTCGAGATGTCTCAGGATTTGAGATGTTGAGGGCAAAATACTTAAAAAAAAATAAGTGGTTGGGACTTCCAAATCATTTCAACATATCCATGGTATTCAAGATATCAGTGTTCCAGACATAGAGGTTCAACTGTATTTGCATATTCTCTGTTTTCTCCCTTTATGAACCTGCACTCACCAGTTGCAAGCAGGAGAGAGAGTTGTCATTATTTCTAGAGCTTATAAATCCAAGTGTAACTAAAATTTGATTTAGAATGTGTACTAATCCATCAAAGATCATTAGATCTAAAACAAGTTTGAGACTGATGGAGATTTTCCTTCCAACTGATGTATTTAAAAAAAGAAATCTTATTAGCCAAATACAAGTCAAATGTGATGCTATAATAATAGTGTGGGGAAAGCATAAATCTAATTAAAAGAATGTCTAAGGTAAAACAATTACATCTGTTACATGGATTCTGAAATGAACATGTTTTAATTCTGAGAAAGTTTCAATGTAAAAAGATAGCATATTTAATGTATCTATGAATTATACCAAATACTGGTCCTGGGAACTGTTCACAGAATCAATAGTGCCAGCTTATTTAAAGTACCATTGATTTTTTTACTCTATTGCCATGAAATTATTTTATGCGATATCATTGTATCATTCATTTCCTCAATGGGATAAAAAGTAAATATCATGGGATAACAGAGAAATTTTGACAGCATATTATGACTCTATTTGTGCATTTAAGTCCTAGGTATAAGGGGAATTTGTTATTATTCCTTCTGGCTAAAAAAAAGGATGCAACGGGTATTGATTCGTTTCACAGTAACACAATATTGACACCAAACTGCTTTGATCATAGTCATGTAGATGTTTGCTTGGCTGAATCTGTGTTAAAGGTGAGACGGAAACGAAGGATGCTAATAGAAATAATAAAAAATATTGGAGAATATTCTTTGGTATTTACCAGTGGTGCAGAATTTGAGTTATTATCATATATCTGTTTTTAAGGAAAAGACATGCAGGATAATCTAATGATCCATTATTATAAAATCCTTCCTGATTCAAAATAAAAAAAAGCCAAAAAGTTTCCCATGTAACATGGTGTCCATAATTAGTAGGTTTTGGTTGGAATTTTCATTATTCAAGCTGTGTACATTAGATAAACCGTTTTCTTACTGCAAAGTATTTAAGTTATATGTCACTTAGTGATGTACATGGTTTTGTTCACAGCTTAATAAACTGTGCTCAAGAAGTTCACAAAAAGCAGTCACTAGTGATGGAATTCAATGATACTATTGTGTAGATAACTGTCCAAGCAGACTTTTTACATAGGCATTGTAAGACTGTAACAATTGTAGACATTTGGTAGGTCAGAGATTCTATAATTTTAATCATTTCTTGATTTTTTTTTCCCTAAGGAAGTATAACTGACCTAGTTGAAATTAAAGTTCTATGAATTTTTTTAAACCAAATTGTATAAAAGGCATATAATTTAGCACCCCCCCCCCCCAAAAAAAATGGACTTGGTGTAAAAATATTTGAGGACCCCATTTAAAGCCTACTCTGATGTACAATTTCAAACCACAAGGCAGTTGAATTAAAGACACTAAAACTTATCAAAAACAATAAATTAGAAAAAAAATAATAATTGTTTTTGCATATCTGCTTGCATGCTGATGTAATGATTTGTCACATCACTTTAACATCAAGACCCTTAGCTGTTACTTACCTTGGTAAGAACAAGAGGGGTGTAAATTTAAGATTTTACTTTCCCAACAGATTTTTTTTCATTATTTTTTTTTTAATATATACATTTCATATTGAGTCAAAATTCTTCAGAGAAATTGTAGTGGCCAGTGTGTGCATTTCCCACCAATATTTATTGTTAAGTTCAGACCTGTAGAGCAGCAGTCTCATCATAGATTTCTTGTCCAGTTGGAAGTGTTCTGTGACACATCACTGACTGATAATTGCTAATTTTAGCATTCTCCTGGAACAATATGCTCTTTTATATTTCTGCCAGGGAATAAGCAGCATTATTTAAAGGAGCTCTTTGTTAATCTTGTCAGACAAAACATTTGCACTTAATGTAGACAGAAGAGGGAACAGAAAGTGTCAAGTGTACACTACACTAATGAGGTACATCTGTACAGGTGCCGCGAATTATGCACTCTGTAAATGTTTGTGTCTCGGGGAGCTCTAATGCAGTGAAAATAAGATAGAAAGTTTTAAATTAATTATCTATTTACATGCAGAGGTAAATGACTTTTTCTTCATTTTCTCCAAAATGGTTGTATTTCACAACTGCGCTACACAATTTATACACTTAAAAGTAAATTGGCAGTGGATACCTTGGAAAACCACTGAATAGATCAGGATTTCTAGAAATAACCTCCATAAGCTTGTTATTTTGAGGTGAGACAATGCACACAGCTGCTAAAGCTTTCTCTAATGTAGGAGCCTTGCTGTGTTTCAGCAGCTGAATAAACTGTTTATCCTAACAACATCAAAACTACCTGTAAAATCCAGGAATATATGCAGAACAGGCAGAAAATACGGTCACTGCATGAGAAATCAGGAGACGTTCCAGTGGTGAAAAACTTGGTGCAGGTTGAAAGCTAATATCAGCTGCTGCATGTTTTGTTTGCCATGTGGTTTTATTTTATTTTTTTTTTTATTTTTGAGAAAACTGTAATGGCTTGTATTGCTTAATAGAGTTTTTGGTCAGTAGGAAGAGGATCAAAACATAGCTGATAACAAAAATATTATGAAAACCTTGAAAGAGAAATTTCTATTTTGCCAAGAAAATGGAAGATAATTGAAATATATTGCGTTTTATCAACATGCCTTTTTAACTGATCTGTTTCATTTGAGTGCGTTTTTATTTGAGAACAAATGTAACAGCTTATCTGACATGAATTCAGTGTTTGTAAGGTTAAATTCTCTGTGTGTGTCATATTTGTTACTTAAATGCAGATTACTTTGTAGTGAATCTGCCTTATCAGCAAAATATTTCAGATATTTCATTTATGCTTGAATTCAAGGATGACATTTTAATTGCGCTTTTGAAATTAAAAAAAATATGCTGTGTTTCATGTCATAGATTTATATGTACATGTACAGAAGAACTTCCATATCATTTATACATGGATATGTTGAAAGGAGTTAAAAGTCCCACTACTCTCTTTTTTTTTTTTTTTATCTATTTTAACGCTAAAATCTTGAATCCTTGCATATTACTAAGGGTTTTTTTGGGCCCCATTTAGTAAGAGATAGTAATGTTTGACTGTATTTTTTTCTTCAAGTTCTGTTATGATAGTAACAGTTTTGATGACCAGAAGTTTATGACAGTGAAAGTGGGTATTTCTAGGACACTGTGGTTACACTATTAGCATTTATGGTTTATTCATATGATTGTATAAGAGCAATTTTCAATATTTTCAGGTCTGGTCAAAATGGGAATTCACTGTGTCACAGGAAAACGAGTGGCCATTAAGATTGTCAACAGAGAGAAACTCAGTGAATCTGTTCTAATGAAGGTCAGTAATTTACTAAATAAAGTCAAGGTTATAGCAGATTTCCTTTTTAATATTTTAGCTCACCTCGACAAAGTCGAGATGAGCTTAGCGTCGGCGTCCCGGTTAAAGTTTTAGGAGCAAGTCCCATTCCCAAGTAACTTTAAGCCCTACCTGGACCAAACATGCATGGATGATGCATCTAGGGATGGACACTATCATACTTGCTTCGGATGCTGGATCTGACCTACATTTACCGGATGAGTGACCAGGTTAAAGTTTTTGGAGCAGGTCCATTCCCAAGTAACTATAAGCCCTACCTGGACCAAACTTGCATGTATGATGCATCTAGGGATGGACACTACCACACTTGCTTCAGATGCTGGATCTAACCTATATTTTCCAGTTGAATGACCAGGTTAAAGGTTTTGGAGCAGGTCCATTCCCAAGAAACTATTAGCCCTACCTTGACCAAACTTGCATGTATGATGCATCTAGGGATGGAAACTACCATACTTGCTTCAGATGCTGGATTTAACCTAGATTTTCCAGTTGAGTGACCAGGTTAAAGTTTTGTTGAGCAGTTCCATTCCCAGGTAACTATAAGCCCTACCTGGATCAAACTTGCATGCATGATGCATCTAGGGATGGACACTACCACACTTGCTTCTCGGATGCTGGATCTGGCCTAGATTTTCCAGATGAGTGACCAAGTTAAAGTTTTTGGAGCAGTTCCATTCCCAAGTAACTATTAGCCCTACCTGGACCAGACTTGCATGGATGATGCATCCCGGGATGAACATTACCATGCTTGCTTCGGATGCTGGATTTGAATTGATTTTCCAGAAGAGTGACTAGGTTAAAGTTTTGTGGAGCAGGTCCATTCCCAGGTAACTATAAGCCCTACCTTGACCAAACTTGCATGGATGATGCATCCAGGGATGGGCATTACCACACTTGCTTTGGATGCTGGATCTGAGCTAGATTTTCCACATGTAAGACCAGGTTTAGATTTTGGAGCAGGTCCGCTCCCAAGTAACTATATGCCTTGCCTGGACCAAACTTTCATGATGCATCTAGGGATGTACACTAACCAACCTGCTTTGGATGCTGGATCTGACCTAGATTTTCCACATGAGTGAATTTTTGCTATATTTTAACCAAATTAGCATGGATGATGTATCTAGGGACGGACACTACCACACTTGATTTGGATTCTGAATCTGGCCTACATTTTCCAGATGAGTGACCAGGGTAATTTTTTTGGAGAAGCTTTATAATATTATGGCCTTTTATGATTAAACTTGCATAGATGGTGCATCTAAGGATGAAAACTTCCAGACTTGCTTTGGATGTTGGAACTCACTACAATTTTCTTGATTACTAAATAGCTTAAAAGTTTTTTGAGCAGGTCTATTTTGAAGTAACTATATTTGAGCAGGTCTATTTTCATGTAACTATAAAATTTTTTTTTGAAATTTGCCTTACTTATAGATAACATTCGTCGAGGTGAGCTTCGTAATCTTTGATTACCTATGTTTTTTATTGTCTCCTATTGTGAGTTACATAATTTTATCAATGAAGAGACTCAGCATGCTTGTGGTTCCCTCATTTCAAACCTTTATTTCCCTCCCTCTACCCCTTCCCTCAACCAAGATGAATGAAGGGAGATTACCCTGGTTAATCTGGTAATGATATTATAAAACTACTTTTTATGCAATTTTGAAAATGATAGTTGTATTTTAGTGGTCATTAATAAGTCGTCCTACTAAAAAAAAGTACTAGCTAGTAGAAAAAAAATTTTCTTTTATGTATTTTCTTTTATAGCTGTTTTGATTTGACATGTATAGAGCTGCTAAATTAATAAAGATATTGGGTCCATAAATGGAAAGCCCGATAGGGAAAGTTCCTATAAAACAGATGGAACAATGTACAAGTCTCTTCAGAAAATCAGGAATATTGGTGTTTTATGTTTACACAGGCTTTATAGTGACTGATTATATGGATGTACAGAGATGTGGAATCAGAATTGTTTTCTGCAGGAATCTTGTACAGCAATTGATTAGTGCCCGACTTAAAGACCTCAGCAAGATTTTTAACCAAACAGACTGCACTAGGAGTAATGGAGGAGTATATATGAGTTAATATATGGAAATGCTGCCTATTTTCTATATTGATCAATTTCTTTTATTTTTCTTGTCAGGTTGAACGAGAAATAGCCATAATGAAGTTGATAGAGCACCCCCATGTTCTAGGTCTTTTTGATGTGTATGAAAATAAAAAATATTTGTAAGTATCAGGTTTTAATATTTTCATTGTAGTACAAGGTTAATTCTGCAAGTTTCAAGGCAATGTTAAATACCTTTACAAATTGACAAAAGAATGCTGAACAAACAATAGCAGTAATAGGCTCTTTCAATCTGATTAATCTATGTGCAGGCCGATAATAGTGTACGTTTAATATTTGTCCTAGCAGACACTGATGTCATTGATTTGGCCTTTGTTATGGAATATTTGATAACAATGTAAGCCATTTGACATCCTGTGAGAGTGCCAAAATTACAGACATTTTGGAGGTTTAAGAGATTTATTTTTTTGAAAACATTCTCAAATCACTTCCAAATCCTAATATTCCTGCTAATTAAAATTAATAGGCATTTAAGTAGATATCGGAGATTAAGAAATATAATCATAAACTCGTATAACTCCGTCTTTACACCCGACCCAGAGGCAACGATTTTCGTAGAGAGAGAGGCAGTATGGGTACTTTAAACCCTCTGTTTCAGTCGTAAGAAACTTTAAGAATGCCCCTTCCTCACTAAGCATATGTATGCAGTGATTATTGAAGTCGGTAATTATAATATGACAAGAGGAATCACACACAATTCCAGATGGATGAAATCTGTCTTTCGTATTCTCTTTTCCGTGATACACAAACTTTAATTTTCTTTCAAATGACACAACCTTAATTATCACTTCATCTTTGGACTGACGATCTACTACACAAATATCTGTATTAAAATTTTCTGCCACCCGGTAGGGGAAATTGAATAATCGAGTTTTTTTGTCATCTGCATATTCATAGGATTCTGTTAACTTGCCTTCATTTGTAAGGTGTTGAACCATGCGCATGCTGTCTACACTGACATCATAACAATCCTTGTCCACGAGACAGACCAACAGACCCCCATCTAGGGCCAGTCCCACCCCCAGGGGCATCAGGGGTTTGGTGGTCCAGAATTCTTCCACTTTACCTGTCTTATAGACCTTCTGCATTGTTCCCCCTTCAAATTCTGTGTAAACCATGTCCCCAGAGTTCAAGACAACAAAAGAACTTGTCCATCCCCCAATATAGATCTGTTTGGTGACTTTACCCTGGGAATTCATTCTCTCTGTGAATTTAGAGTTATTGCAGTGAAACCAAGTAAATTCCTCACAGAAAGCATTGATAGCTAGAACAGGCTCATTGCCATGTTTAAAACAATGGATTTCAGTCACTGAGGGTGCTAGAATCTTATTCTCTACCTCATTTATCACATCAGAAAGTTCACTCAGATTTATTTCAGTGTTGTCATTTATTTGGGGATCCTGAAAAGTCTGTTGGAGGTATTTATCATTGGTGTCTTCACTGACCATGGAATGACCTTGAACAGATTCTTCCCTGTCATTTTCTTCTTCTGCGATGCTTTCAAGTTTTTCCGTGGTTTTGAACTGAACGATTTCTTGAATTTCTTCAGATTCCTGACCTGCTGCCATGTCTTCATTAAAGATTTCAAATAACGATATACTAGGGGAATCTCTGTCCATAAGTAACCCTCTGTCAGCCCTCTGCTCCGTGCAATCATCATCTTCTGTCAGATTTTGTCTTTGACTAATGATGTCATTACCTTCATCCCATATATCGTCCTCATCAGACGAGATGATTGGATTAATGTCCGGGCTCCAATTTGTTGTGTGGTTTAATTTAGCACTAGTATTTTGTTGGTCATTTTCCACGTATTCTCCAATGCTCTTATTCTTGGCATCATTAGAATCTATTTCTTCCTCTTCTTCCATTGACATCCAAACTCCCGGCCAGGTAAAAAAGGCTTGTAGCTCTAATGGAGTGGAAACCTCCTGAATACAACACAAATTGTTTACAAGAAGTGCAGTTCAGGCTAAGTTGTTTAGGTAGATCTTTGTAGTTATTTCATGATTTAAATATAAGCTATTGATTTAATGTCGACTTAGTGGACTGTTGTGGAACATTTAAATGTACAACTTGGCAAATCTACCTAGTCATTGCTGCTTTCTGAATACTGTATTATTTTGGTCAGATAAACCATGTGTGAAGTGTAACGTATATGCCATCAGATGTATGCATGCTTTTTAAGTGTGCGGTACCGTAGTCTTTGGTATGTCTCGGTTCCATTGACAGGATATAAACTCCCAAGAATTTGACTGACAATACAATTAGACCTTTGAAGCTTGAGGCACTGAAGGATCTAATAAATTCATGAAGAAGCAATTGTGAAATTAATTGAATTAAAAATGTCCTTCATTAATTTCAAATGTCATTTTTTTTAATCCTTTTTTCTCCAATATCAGATGTACATGAATATTTCCTAGATAGTTCTTTGCATACCTTAATTTTTCATGAAAATAAATGTGCATTTTTTAATTAGTTATGGTAAAGTAGAACAAGTACAATATATCAATGTGAAGTATTTTTATGGGAAAGAAATTAACATAAGACATTTTTGAAAATCTATTTTCAGTGAAGACAATCCCCAGATTAGTTGCATTTTCATTTCACTTAATTCGCTCAGCCTTCAGAAACTTTAAGCTCAAGATTTCAAGAGTTAAGTCCCTGAACTCTGACAACAGTTAAACATTTTGAAACATATAGTTTTTTGTTGTTATAGGGATTTTAAAAACTTAAGTATTTGAAACAAAATTTGTAATGTCCCAATGTTGAAAAAGAATTATGAATTTGTACCTGTGATTTTTTTTGGACTTGGGTGAGAAGTGTAGTATATCATTTTGTTACATGTATATACCATTTATTAATAAAAATTGTCTTCTGTATAAATCTATCCTTTAAAAAAAAGTCTAAAATTTCAAAAGTTTTTCTGAGGGATAAAAAAGAATCAATGTTGGACTGTTTAGTGACATATTGGATCACTATGATGTTTTCTTCATCATTACATCACAGTGTATGAGGGACCAGCTATATTTTATCAATTGCCTCAAAAATGGAAGTTAGCACAATATATGTCAAAATAAAAAATAAAAGGTATAACAATCGAACTGTTTGTCTGAGGCTTTTAGGCCGCATACAAACGGTTTGGTTCTTGGGTCCAACAAAATGCATGTTGCCCACTTGAACTTTTTCTGTACTATTTACAGGTATTTGGTTCTGGAGCATGTGTCGGGAGGTGAGCTGTTTGATTACCTGGTTAAAAAGGGTCGACTCACTCCCAAAGAGGCTCGCAGGTTCTTCCGTCAAATCATCTCAGCTCTAGATTTCTGTCACAGTCATAATATATGGTAGAGTTCACTTATTGTTTGCATTGTAAAGTGCCTGTATAATCAGTATTTTCCTATATGAAATGTATTTAAAAGTGTTTCTTAAAAAAAGAGCCAAAAAAAAAAAGGCAATGGGGGGAGGGTGGGGGGGAGACCATTAATTTTACAAAGGTAGTGACTATTCCTCCAATAGTTGTGGCATTAGAAGTGAAATTCAAAGGCTTCATTCAGATGAGAATTTTAAAACCATTTAGGTCTCTTGATAAGTGCTGGTATATTAATTAAAGAACCCAGTCAATATTGGAATAAGTTCATTGATAAGGACTAGGCATTTCACATGTAGCCAGAGAAGTTAGATATATGAATGAAAAATTCTGGCAGAGACATTAAAGAATCAAAATATGACAGTAGGATTTGAAGGTATTAAAGCTTAGATTCAATTTGACAGTGCACATAAAAATAAAGGAAATAACTCTGTGACGTGTCTTGTTATTATGACAAATTATGACAATGCACACATTTAAGTCAAGGAAGTACTTGATGTTTAGGGCCCATAGTTTCATCAAGAGATAATTCCATTATGGAAATTTGACAAGTCAATTATTAGTAATGTTATGTAAATTTATTCTCAGTCACAGAGACCTAAAGCCAGAGAATCTGTTACTAGACGACAAAAATAACATCAGAGTGGCCGATTTTGGTATGGCTTCTCTGCAGGTGGAAGGTTCCATGTTAGAAACCAGCTGTGGGTAAGTCAGAAAAAAAAATGTTTGAGAGCCAAACATGGGTCTTCACTGTTCAAAAAGGAATTTCAAATTAAAGTACATCAAATGAATGATTAATGACAGATTAATGTAATATAGCAAAAAGGTTTAGAATAGCAACACTTAAGGTATGTCACTCGTCAGCTTTTTAGAAAAGTTCAGTCAGATCCTTTAACTTCAAAACTATTTATTACAATTCAAGTTCTATAACATGTTTAAATTAACAATGCAAATTATTTAACATTCAATTAAAAAACTGCTCATAAATTCATAAAGAAGCAAGATTTATGAGGGACTATTTCTTGTGGTGGAAGGATATTTAGAAGAAAATTTAAATTTAATATCTTGGAACTTTAGCCCCATGTATTTTAACTTAGAGAATATTTTCCATTATGATATGCTAGGAGTATTAAATGTAGGTTTTAATTTATATTTTTAGAACAAATTTTATACATTTACTCAACAGACTTTGCCAAGAAATGAAGATATATTAAAGAAGTCAAGATAAAATTTACGCCGTTTTTTGCCTGAAAATCGCACATTTTGACCAATATCTCAAAATTTACATCACTGACCCCAACTTTTTCTTTCATTATTTTTAACAACCTGATGCTTCCAACCGATCAGCACTTAAGTCATAAAAAGTTTGATACAAGAAAATATTTTATTGCCTTCTTAGATTTTTTATACCCCAAATGTGATACTTTTTAGTGCAAAAAGGTCACACAATAATTAAAGCGCATTAATTTTCATGAATTGTTCAATGATAAATATTATTCAAACTATTTTATGTAAAATAGGATTATATTTATTGCCATAATTACATCTGATAAAATATGATAAAGATAAACGTGATTAACCAAAGAGTTACAATTTAAGTGCAAAAAGGTCAACTTAATTGTACCGTAGCTCAGTAAGATGCACACTGACCCCCCATTTTCTTAGCGATTTTGAGTCATGCTATATGAGTACTTATCTAAAATATACTTCTCAAAAAATCCTTGATACAACTAATTTCACGAGTGACATACCTTAAATACAGTTGAACTTTCGTATCTCGAATACTGATATCTCAAATACCATGGATATGTCGAAGTGATTTTGAAGTCCAAATTGCTTATTCCTCAAGTATTTTACCCTGGATATCTCAAATCCTCGGATGTCTCAAAGTATTTTCTCGGTCCCTTTGAGTTCGAGATAACGAGGTTTGACTGTACATGAAGTTGCTAAAAAGTTTATTACAGTACACTGTAATTCTGATAATCAGTGCACATAACTTGATGAGTGCTAACAAATTGCATGCACTAATTAACATTATATAGTGAAAAAAAAACAACCACCTTATTTTGATGAGTACGGCTGTACTATTGTAGCTCTCCACACTATGCCTGTCCAGAGGTGATTCGGGTAAGACTTGTCCAGGGCATTTCTTGGTGTTGTACCTCTGTTGTCCTATACCAGTATGAATTTTTTTGTTGGTATGTATTCTTCTCCACATATTTTAAGTTTCTAAATCTAGTTACATTTCTTCTACAGATCACTTTGTTTTGTGTGCATAACTAAAGGCATGTACTGTTAAAATTTTTTTACTATAAATACATGTTTTTATGTAGCTCATGCAGTCATTACAATGCAAGGTATCAAAAGTTGGGTATTTCAGTGGACTAAATTTGATTGTGCATACAAAGCACTGCATGATTACAAGCACCGAAATGTACACTTCCTGTGTACTTATATAAGAGATTTACATTTCCATCTGAAAATTTTTGCAAGGAGTGAGTTTTTGCTGCAGTAAAAAATTATTGATTTCTCTGATATAAACTCACTGACAGAAGAAGTGTAGAATAGGTGCAGGCATAATTTGTTTTCTTGTGACAATTAGGAATTGTGTGAAGACGTTTTTAAGATCTTGAAAGTATTTCAGTCAGTGTCGAGGAGATCCAGTGAGCCCCCAGTGTATATGGATAAGCTTGAAGTCAAAGCAGAGATCAATACGTAGCTGTCGTACTCGGTCCAATAATTGTTCATGCCCCTATACGACCCTTCCCACTTCCGTTTCAGTTTCAGTTAGAAAAGAATGAATTCAAATGTTCCTTTCATGACTTATAAAAATCATACAGATATTATGTCAATACATATTTTTGTCACTTAGCATTTTGGAAAGTCAATAATTTTACTATGATTCATATTTTTATAATGGAAAAAAGTCATTTCTAATGTGTACTTCTGACTTCTTCAGTATGTGGTTTTTTTTAACTGTTCCTTTAAGAATATCATAATTTTAAGCACAGCAAACTTGCCACACTATGACAGATATGAAGTCTTTACTATCTTTGTCAACTGCATGAGTTACCATGTTTTTTTTATATTAATACAGAATGAGATATTGCAGTAGACAGTGTTAATTTACCACTGTTGAGAAAACAACAACTACAAATAGACATTTTCAGTTTTTCACTGGTCCCATTGCATGACATTTTATGTAAACATGCTATGTTTGTGCATTTTGTCAGATTTTGCATTTGGTGCTTTAATTTTTCAGTTCAATACTGATCTGAAAAATCTGTGAAACAGTCTTTTACTTATATATGGAAAACATTAATCAGGATTGTTGCAATATTCTTCATTGAAGAGTTAAGTAATACATTGTTACTTGAAATATTTATAGTAACTGCCATGACACTTAATGAGGTCAAAGTCATATCATGTGTTCATAAATATTTAAATGTTAATTGCCTGTTTGTGTGTCTGTAAGAATTCAGGAAAAGGGAGGGGATCACTCATGAATATCTTTAATACATTATAAGGTGGTGTGTAAAAATATGTATTAATTTTTTATGGCATACTAGTGTAGAAGTTCAGGCTATATAGTCCATGGATATTGGCCTGGGTAGCTCAGTGGTAGAGCAACTGACTAGTAATACAGGGGTTCTTGGTTTGATTCTCTGTCCAGCCATATATATTAATTCATTCCTTATTTCTTACTACATTTGGTAGCCAGTGTGTGTGTGTGTGGGGGGGGGGGGGGGTTCAGGTTATGTGTAAGTTAATAAGTCCTGACAGTGCCCATGAACTTGTGTCTTTAAGGTTGAAGACCATTTAAGGATGGAGGAATGTAGATTAGTTTGAGCTATATGGACCATGGATATTGGCCTGTGATACAGGGGTGTAGAGTTCGATTCCAGGTCCAGCCATATACTGTAAAAGCAGAAATATTCATTGGGGATTAAATTTCGTTGTTAATAATTATCAACGAAATTAAATCCCACATGAAATTTTTACATGACAGACTATTTATTAGATAGAGTTACTTAATACTTACATAAACAATGAAATTTAATGCCCACAAAACCTTTGTAGATGATAAATCAACGAAATTTTATCCCCTTGAAAATTTGTGCTTCTACAGTATTTTTCTTTATTCATTCCTCCTTTCTTACTCATGTATACAATCCCTGAAATGCTCTTCTTCCCATTTTTGCATTCTTTGTGAGCTCTGTTCACTCGGTGATCACTGATTTGTTCATTCAGTACACTCACAGACTGCTCGATACATTCCACTTGATACACTCACCATTTGCTCTCTCTTTTTACTATTTACATAGCCTGACATGTAAATTAATTGGGGGGGGGGGGGGCTCATTCATGTGCTTAAAATTAATTTAAACAGATGTATATCCACCAAAAGTTCTTTGTGACGTCTTGTCAAGAAGATGATGTTTCCTGAGAATTTACATAGTTTAATAGGCATAATAATCATACTGAAATAAAAATAAGAATCATAGGTCTATTACTCTTCTATGGATCAAGTAACTTTATTACAGTGGAGCCTTGTTATTCTGGGCTGGGGTTCATAAACATACTTAAGATTTGTGCTAAGTTTCACACTTAAGTATAAAATAAATTCTTATCTAAGAAAAAATTCTTAAGTCATATTCATATAAATTCTAAGTGCAATTCTAAGCTAAGTTTAATTCTGAGAAAATTAAAGCACTTAAGTTACGTCACCCTAGCAACGCATACAATTTCCCAAACAAAAAGTGCACTCTTTTGTGATGGAGGTATTTAGTTCCATGTGTATTACATCACAACTGATACAACTTTGTCATCAACATTGCACAATATTGCATCTTACCAGTTGATAAACATCTCAAAGTCAAAACAAGTTTCTAGTTGGATGTAATAGCATGGTTTCTTACTGAAAGAGTAAAATGTCTTCTGTAAAGCATTATTTTTTATTTTGATAAAGAAAACTTAAGTATTTCTTATCTACTTAAGACACCTCCTGAGGACACTTAACTTTAAGTCAATACTTAAACACTAAATATGTTTATGAATTACACTTCAGTATTTCTACCAAATTTAAGTAATACTTAGGGGACTTAAGTATAAAATATAAAACTTAAGTGATTTTTTAAACTTAAGATTATACTAAGAAGTTTTATGAATCCCAGCCCTGGATGCCAATATTCCGGGCACTCTGGAGGAAATCTGTGGGGAACATAATTTATAATAATATCTACCAATATCTACCTGTACATGTATATCTTATTTATTAAATTTGTCTGGTATCTGATTTCAGGGTGAAAAGTATGATGGAAGGAAAGCGGATGTATGGAGTTGTGGAGTTATACTCTATGCTTTACTAGTTGTAAGTTTTATAAGTGTTTGAAGAAGTAGATAGTATAGCAATATTGAAAGAGAAACAAAAGCTTTTTCAATGAATAATTCAGTATTCTTTATATGTGATTAAAATAAGTAATTATTATAACAGACATTATGAGCAGCAGATGTCTTACGCTTAAAGAATTCATAAATATGATAATATGCAAACACATGTCACCAGAATTTATTTTTTTAGGAATTCTTAATTTCTGGTCAGATGGAAAGCCATGAAAACTTAAAAATCTATGCATATTTTCACTACTAGTATTTTATGCTGACAATCAATCAATTTCTGATTTTTACAGGGAGCTCTTCCTTTTGATGACGACAATCTTAGGCAGCTTCTTGAAAAAGTGAAGAAGGGAATATTTCACATTCCACATTTTGTCTCCCCTGACTGTCAAAATCTGCTTCGAGGAATGATAGAAGTTAGTCCAGACCTCCGATTAACAGTAAGTCCCCCCCCCCCCAACTCCCCTCCCCCCAACTGTCAAAATCTGCTGCAAGGAATGATAGAAGTTAGTCCAGACCTCCGATTAACGGTAAGTCCCCCCCCCCCCCACTCCACGTCCACACCACAGACTTTATTGTGTTCTCAGCAGTTACTTCATAGAAAAAATTCCTCTCTCATTATTCAACATGATACCTTTTTGAAGGCTAAAACAATTCTGATTTTTATTAAATATTAAACTATGTTGAAGGGATAATGACATTTTTATTTCAGTTAGAACAGATCCACAAGCATTCTTGGGTTGTAGTGTAAGTATAATTCTGATTATGTGGTCTTTATATCAATGTAACATGTGATAATCATGATTTTTAAAGTCTAATTTGAAATAAATATTGCTTGAAATGAAATTTTGGTAGCTTTTCTCAACAAAACCTTCACACAAATTAAAAAAGATATTTTAAATTATGATATAATTTGAATTGCTACTGTATGTTTTGATGTACAGTAACAATAACTAAAACCAGAAGTATATATTTTAGGGGTTCAAAACAAGATTATGATATGGAATTACCTGTCATGCAAATTGTTCAGGTAACAAAGAATTATATTGTTGTGAACTTCATGGATCTCCTTCTGACAGATGACCTTAAACAAAAAGTGCAGATATTAATACATGTATTGTTTTTTTTAATCTGTCTGAAGAAGATCCTTGAATTATAATATAATTTTAAGTTTTGTCTTTCACTTTTTGTTTTCATTATTATGATTTCTAGGGATAGTCAAGGACTTGTAGAGCTAGAATTACCTGTTTCTCAAGTGGTCCAGGTAAAAACTCCTAAATCCTCCACCCAGAATATCTTTTAGTATTGTTGGCTGCTTTGATTTGGCTTTTGTCACAAATTTACATGTACCAGAGTTTTTGGTAGGAATTATATTTTAGATCCTGATTATGTGTGTGTTTACCGAAGTAATAGTAATTTACATGTTGGGGAAATCCTGCGGCAGAATGTTAATTGTTGCCTTTAAAGGAATATATTAAATTAATCTTGAAATTTTTACCAGAAAAATCTTTCTCACACTCTCAACCAGGAAGCTTTAAGATGAGCTCCTCAGTATGAAAGTCTTGTACTTTAACATACTTGACATTAAAATACTCCTTTTTTTATAATCCCCATGCTTAATTAATATTCACTCCATACTTGTTTTGGCTCACGTGAGTTTGAACCTCTTTGATGAGAGGTTGTTGTCTGACACTTTACATTGTTACCTTTCTACTTTTTCTCTGGAACCAGAATAAAATTTTAGCATAGTTGTTCCCAAGCATCTTTGAATAATAGTTATATGTTTGATCAAATAGAGAACCAAATCCATTACCAAGTGGAGATAATTTAAAAAATAGGAAAATGAGAAGGGGGCGTCAGTCTCTTCTGTGTATCCATTGGGTTAGGAAAAACAAATCTCAAAGTGAAGTTTGAATGTATAATACAGTGCTTGAAACTCACTGTAAAATTAGCTAGACATGCAAGACTGACTGCAGATAAAACTTGTCAGCCCCTCCAAAGATCTACTATCCCGAGAAAAGTATTGCCTTTTTCATAAATTAGTTTTGTGACATATGGAAAACAATTATGATTTTTAATTAGTAGAAATTTTAAAACATCCAGCCAGGCTACCAAGTTTAATCGCCCGTGGTGAAATTTTTGTGGTCGTGTGCACAGTTATTTCAAACACTGCATATTAAAAATACTATCAAGTTATTTACATCATTTTCCTTGGACCAAGATGGAGTCACAATGGGGGTCCCAAGTTTTATATAAGTATACAGAAAAGATAAAATGTTCTTCAGAACAGCTAGCATGTGGTTAGTCAAATAATGTTTCAAGCATCTTCATATTTTGTTTTGTGGGGCTAGCTAGGGTGGGACCACAAGAAGATGTCTCTGGTATACATTCAAACAGAGCAGTGTGATTCAGGTATGCTTAGAGGACTGAGGGTCTCTTATTACCACTATCCCATCAAGGAACTATATACGGTAAGGGCGTATTCCTGCCCCCATAATAGTCAAATTTTGAAAATCTCTTGAAATGAGAAAAAGTGCATATATTGTATAAAATAATCCAAATTAAGACAATATATTATGAAATTGGAAAAATTAGTTGGCTTTTCTTGTCTCTGTGACGTCACAAACTATTTGGATTTCCGTTATTTTTAAAATAGAGGCCAAAATGCACAGAGTTTGTTCAATTTTGACTATAGTATTTATAGAGCGCAAGCTTGCTCAGGTACCATATTCACATATTTCGTTGATATTATCATTCTACACATTATATCAAAAGATCTAGTCTGAGCAGACCTGCGCTCGATAATTTCCAATCAAAATACCGACGTAAAATACACTATTTTCTCTCAAAATCGTTGCAATTTGGAATTTACGTCATTTTATTGACGTCATATTTAACTAATGATGTCATAGTTGATAAAAATATTTAATGCTTTGAAGTCTGCAAATATCCACCTGGTTTAGAGTATAATTAAAGATTTCTCCATCAAAGTTTTATTTTGGGGGCAGATACTGCCACTACAGAATATAGTCCTTTTATTCTGTACTTTTATATCTCAATACATGTATTGACAATGTTAGCCTATTCTTGGTTTCTGTCTACAGAATAAGGGATTGGTGTGTATGCCCCATTTTTTCCTAATACAAAAGGTATATGTGGTATTAATCACACTATAATTGATGCTGTTTACTTCAAATCATTTTCCTGGTTTGTCACTTACAGATATAATGGTATATTGATTTTTTTTTTCTAAAAATAAATACTTGGTTGTTAGTTTGCATGAGAGTTATTTTGCCTACAGGTTGATTGTGTGATATGATTAAGAATTTGCATTTTGATGACAAAATCTATGGATATTTTCTGCCAGAGAGAGAGAGAAGAGTTATCCCTCTTTAGATATATTTTCTGGTGTGTTTTATATAATGAAATGTGGAGTCAACCAGCATGCTAGAGGTCGGGGAGATACACTTTTGTTGCCTCAAATACATTGTCCAAGACTGTATTATCTGTAGGAGCCATCCCTGCATGATCCAGCTGTTTTAAAGTTGTTCTTGTCCAGTCAAAATAGTACAACTATCTAATTATGTTGCATGTATCTTGAAATGAAATTCAAAATTGACTGGGCATATTTTTGCTTTGTTGCCAGAAATGACAAATTTTAGAGGGCTTTTGACATGTTTTGTGTCTTTCAATGTATTTTACTGTTTTTCCTCCCACAAACTAGCCCCCTGACTTTATATCTGTATAACTGTCCCTAGCCCTCTCACTCTCTGTATATCTGGTCTGTTCCAATCCTCTGTCTATGATAGTTCCAGTATAGATTTATTGCCTTTCTGTCAGGGATAAATGTTATTAAGTGATGGAGTGTCTTCGGCTTTCTCAGTCCTGTCCCTTATGTCTTCCCTATTACTGTAATGTAATTCACTGCAGAAGGAGTAATCCCTTGTGTAAGACCTACATGTACAAAACTGTTTGCTGAAACCACACTACAAGATTGCTTCAGCATAAAATGTTTAAGCATCCAGAATCACAGATGTTTTAATATAGAAATGGTCTGCTTTCTTTGAGAAAGGATTTCAGCTATGTCTGGATCTTAGAACTATCAGGACAGATTTTTTTTTACACATGGTGCACTCTCTTTACCATTTCAACCACAGCATCTAGAGTTTAAAATTGTGCCATTCTTTGCAAATTTTGATATTGAGAAGGCAAGAGTGTTAAAATATGCAAAAGAATTAGACACTACATATCTGTAGCTTAATTTCAAATGAGCTTGTAATGAACTTAAATTGATTAAAGTGGTTCCTCTAATGTAGTGGATTCTAGAATAGTTAAAATGGTACATCTATTAAATTAATTTCTTCTAAAGCTTTAGTAAGAGCTCAAAGAAAAATCATGGGTTGAAAAAGTGAAGAGGGGGGTTATGATTTTTTCAGAGTACATTTTGGTTTCTAGTAGTAGCACATTCTAGTAGTACTGTAGTCTTATTACGGTTGTATATTTTATTTTTTGAAGTTTGTTTCATTTTTATTAATTTCCATTTTATTTGTAATACATATATTCCTTCAGTAATATATTTTTTAGCATGGTGTGTTGATGCTGTATTCAAATTTTTTTTCACTGTTACAGTAAAAAATAAAATATTTTTTTGCAGACAGTTTATCCCTGTGCTTTGGAGGGAATGGGAGTAAACTTCCTTAGATGTTGTTTATTCAAGATTCAAGTTTGTTCAAATCATGAGCAATAGGGCTAAGATTGGGCAAGAATGGGAGAACAAAATTTTACACACAGTCAAATAAATACACAAATGCAAGAACAACAATATGGTACAGTTGGTAATTTCAAAACAAAGACTTAGTTTAGTGTAATTTGAAATTGTAGAATTCATGTAATCATTGTTGTTAGCCTTGATACATGATTTTGAATTCATTTATCAAAATGTTAATTTGTCAGGAAGAAAATTATCAGATGAGCCTTGTGGCCCATGGTCCTCTGTTTTTTATATGTTCTTTCAGAGCCATTTTTGTGCATTTTCCTAGTTGTTCTATTTCCTATGCTTATTTCTTTTATATTGCAGACCTCTGTGTTGCCCTCTGTGGAGGACCTTGACCCAGATGTTCTGTCCACCATGAACTCTCTACAGTGCTTCAAGGACAAAGACAAACTGGTCCAGGAACTTCTTAATTCAAAGTAGGTCATTCCTATCTATATACTGAATAGATCATCAGGTGTCTTGTCTCAGAGTAGGTCATTCCTATCTATGGTATATACTGAATATATCATCAGGTGTCTTGTCTCAAAGTAGGTCATTCCTATCTATGGTATATACTGAATATATCATCAGGTGTCTTAATTGTCTCAAAGTAGGTCATTCTCATCTATATACAGAATAGATCATCAGATTCTTGTCTTATTCTCCTTGCCAAGTGGTTTTACACTTGCTTACTGATTAAGAGGCCTAGCTGGGTTTGATTCTTGTTCCCTGCACCTTGTCAAACCTAAGAGATTTAACATAGGTAGTGACTGTTCCTTTGCCACATGTCCAGCATGTTGTAGGTCAATCTTTGACTTATCCTGGTAGTTTTATCAATACTTTTCTGCAGCCACCAAGCAAAAATAATCCTGACATTTTTGGGAGAACTGTAAGCATTGATCTGAATAGGAGAAATGTCAAATGGTCATATCTGTCTTCAAATTGTCACTTGATTGAATGGAATTTTTCTCTTAATACATTACCAGGTATATAAATATTGCATACACAGTAAAACTCATTAAGTATGAAAATGGATATAGCGAAATTACGGACATAGCAAAGTTTTTTTTGCAATAACAAATAACAATAACAATTCCTAATAAAATTTTATGGATATGAAGATCGGATATAGCAAATTTACAGTTATAGCGAACTGATTCTGTGTCCCCTAGAAGTTAAAAAAAACAAAATTTACATTTTTTATAGCAAATTTTTAAAGAATATCAATTTTTAAAATATTGAACTGACATTAATTTTGTAAGCATATATATTTGAAACTCTATTCAACGAAAACTTTTGAACTCCAAGGTGCATTTTGTATTGTATACTTCTTTAAATACATTTTGTAGTCATACTTGAAGGAAAAAAATCTATATTGTGAATTTGCTATGTATATACTTTAATGAACTCAATGAGACAGAGGAAATACTTCGAGATATCCGAGGATTCGAAATATTCAGGGTAAAAAACTTAAGAAATAAGGGCTTGGGACTTCAAAATCACTTTGACATATCCATGGTATTCAAGATATCAGTGTTTGAGATACTGAAGCTCAACTGTATTTTCTAAATTAATGTTGTGATAGAATCTCAATGACAAGCCAGCTGATGTGTTGATAAACTGATGCATTTATGACTAATCACAAATTATGTGAATTCAATAGACTTTGGTATCAATGGAATTTTCTCTTTTTTTATGTTGTCATTTGTATCTCATGGGTGATTAATATCAATTTGCTGTGTTCAATAGGTCCATTCATAATTTCTCCCTGGGTTAGGCTGAGAAGGTTTCTATGGAGATAATGTTATTATAACGAGAGAATTCATTTCAATTAACTTGAATTTGACAGGAATAATAACCTATATTGAATAGCCATAAGGTAATTCTTGTCAAGAAAAGTTATTGACACTTTGAACTGAGACTTTGGGGGAAAAAAAAACATGTCAAGAAGTAGATGATGATTAATGTATGAAAAAAAAGCTGAATCCTTTTGTACTGTGATATTTATATTCTGTAGATCACAATGATCACCAAATTTATACAACACATTATTTTTTAGAGATAGCTATTTGGTATTTATTATTTTTTAGAGATAGCTATTTGGTATTAATGTGCAAGAGAAAAATTTCACAAATTCAGGTTATTATTGTATATAATCTTTAATAGTAAAAATTTAAGTGAGAAATTTTGTGAGCAGAAGGTTTGCTTAATTACGTGAAAGTAAAGATTTTGCAATAGAAAGTTATTTACAGAAACTGTTTTATCAGAGTTTTTTCCATGAAAGCTGGAGCTATATTTTGAATAAAGGAATGGAAAGGCAAATCTAATGTGGCCAATTAAGAACAGTCTCCAAACCAGAATAGAAATACATGTATATATTTGATGTTATGTATGAAATCCCTGTCCAATTTGTCACTGCATGTACAGAGTGGATATTTTAAAAAGCTCATGTTAAACAAAGGATGCTTTTGGTTCTAGGATAAGGCCTGTACCCTATGAAATAAATGATATACCAGATATTTTTAATGTATAAGATCATGGGCATTTGGATGGGCACAGTTAAATTGTTGTCTGACCCATGACTTTTTTACTCCAGACAGAACTTGATAATGTATAGTGTCATGTAAAAGTAACTGGCTCGGTAGAATTTTTTCTGGCTCTAAAATTTGTGATGCTGCATGCATGGGGTTGTAAAAATTTTGACACAGTGTTTGAATATATCAGGAGAATTTGCTGGAACCATGAGTACTTTGCATTGCAAGGCCTTTAGGTTTTCTGTTGAATGATATAACATTTATACAGAGTCAGACATTGTGCCAAGTAGATTTTGTTTTAGAATTGTTCAATGATAGCTGTTAGATTGTAGAGTTGATAGGAAGTACATGTATTTCAAATATACACAGTTGAGAGCATTTTCTACAAAGAGTATTTGTACTATTAAGACAACCCTAGTTTTGATGAATTTTATTGTTCATGAATTTTTTTTTTTCAGACACAATACAGAGAAGGTGGTGTACTTTTTGCTGTTAGATCGTAAACTCAGGAACCCTAGCATTGAAGATTCCCACGATATAAGACTTCGCTCAGAATCAGGTATTATACTTTTCATTTTATTATTATTTATCTACATAATTTCTGGTATCAGTTTCTTTGTATGGTGACCTTTTTTATCTCGGCAGATCTCGTTACTCAGTATATCGTTGTGCCCCCCCCCCCCCCCCCCACCCCACCCCGTCTGTGATTCTGACCAGTCGCATCATATCCAGGCTATGATCATATTAAAGTTGGGTGCAATGAATTCAAATAGAAGTTTATTGCCCATGAATGCATTTTCTCTATTTCATGGTCTTTGATTGATTGGCATGCAGCTTTGAACTCAAAGCTGTTCTTTTGTTGCTGTTGATGGAAGATATTTGTTGATGAGAACTCAAGGTCATATTTCAAAACTCAAGGTCAATGGGAAATGATTAGATCTATTTAACTTGTTGTATGTTACATGACATTTTATATGATTTCAATTCAAGTTAATAACCTAAGAGATTTATGGTAGTGGACAGACTTGAGGAGAGGGGAGACATCTATGTTTTGTTTTGATTTGTTTTATCTTTTTTAAAAGAAGAAAACAATAAATTTAAGGTTTATTGACCCTCTGATAAGGGAGGCAACTCTCACTAGGAATAATCACTAATTTTCTTTTAAAAAAATCATGAAGTTAAAAGGGGATTTCTTTCAATGTGTATACCACAAGGTATGCTGAAATTGTTGCATTTCAGTAATACATTGTATTTAGAGTTCTTTTTAGATATCTTTTGGAAAAACATCATTAAAGCAAAATTCTATATGGGTGAAGAGGTGATGATCCTTAATTATCCTTATTCAGTTGCTAGTTTATAGATAAAATAAAATTCTGATTAAAACTTTTTTTTTTGGTGTACTTTAGCTGACCCTCCTCGGAAGCGTGTGGATGCTGTACAACTGAATCATCAAAATGGAGGACAACCAAGGTAATAGGAAGCAGCATGTTGAATGTCAAATTTAATTATGGTCATGGATTTTCCTTTAACATCTTTGAAATTAACTACAAATATGTTATATTTAATATGGAATGTATGAGTACTAACACATCACTAATCCTGTACTAACAGACTATCACTAGGAAGCATCAGTGAAGGTTCACCAGTAGCGTCTCGCCGAGCACTTGCTGTACAGAGAGTGTAAGTTAATGTCATGATGCTTGCAAATGAAAACTGCATGCAGGAAAATTTTTTTATATTACATGTTTTGAAGTTTTAAATTGTTTGCCTAAATGGTCAGTTTAAAAGGAGTAACACACAATGTTGTTATTTGAAAGTTGAGACGATCAAAAGAAGTTATGAATTTATTGTTAATTTTATTTAAAATAAAAAAGTAAATTATTATTATAAAGCAATTGCTCATATATATCTTTTTAATCAGTAGTTTCAAAGATGTAATCACATGTATTTTCTTCTATAATTGAAACTTGAGAACAATTTTGCAATTTTTTTTCACAGCCGAAAAGCAAGTTTATCCAGCAGCCCTAGCAGTTCCCCAATTTCCAGTGTGAGAATCCCTGCCAGGGGCCCCACACACAGCCCCTCAGCCACACCCCCAGGATCCCCCTCCATTCAAAACAACCCCTGGAGATCCCGGCTTCACACCATCAAAAATAGCTTAATGGGCTCTCCTCGATTCCACAGGCGAAAACTCCAAGGTATTCCATATGGTAACCATGGTAATGGGTATTATAAGGAGGTAGCTTCGCCACTGTTGACAGGTACAGGTGTTAAGGTGGTGTTTTGGATGCCACAGTTGTGTTGAGGCTGCCATTAATGATTGGCTTTCTGTGACAAACTCCTACTTTTTAGCTTACCTGAGCCGAAGGCTCAAGTGAGCTTTTCTGATCACATTTTGTCTGTCGTCCGTCCGTCCTTCTGTCCGTCTGTCTGTCTGTCCGTCCGTCTGTAAACTTTTCACATTTTTGACTTCTTCTCAAGAACCACTGGGCCAATTTTGACCAAACTTGGTACAAAGCATCCTTGGGTGAAGGGGAATTTAAATTGTAAAAATGAAGGGCCAAGTCCCCTCACAAGGGGAGATAATCAAGAGAAGACAAAAATAGGGTGGGGTCATTAAAAAATCTTCTTCTCAAGAACCACAGGGCCAGTAAAGCTGAAACTTATATGGAAGCATCCTGGGGTAGTGTAGATTCTAAATTGTTCAAATCATGACCCCCGGGGGTAGGGCGGGGCCACAATGTGGAATCAATGTTTTACATAGAAATATATAGGAAAAATCTTTAAAAATCTTCTTCTCAAGAACCACAGGGCCAGAAAAGCTGAAACTAATGTGGAAGCATCCTGGGGTACTGTAGATTCTAAATTTTTAAAATCATGACCCCCGGGGGTAGGGCGGGGCCACAATAGGGAATCCAAGTTTTACATTGAAATATATAGAAAAAATCTTCTCAAGAACCACAGGGCCAGAAAAGCTGAAACTAATGTGGAAGCATCTTGGGGTAGTGTAGATTCTAAATTGTTAAAATCATGACCCCAGGGGGTAGGGCAGGGCCACAATGGGGAATCCAAGTTTTACATTGAAATATATAGAAAAAATCTTTAAAAATCTTCTTCTCAAGAACCACAGGGCCAGAAAAGCTGAAACTAATGTGGAAGCATCTTGGGGTAGTGTAGATTCTAAATTGTTAAAATCATGACCCCCGGGGGTAGGGCGGGGCCACAATAGGGAATCCAAGTTTTACATTGAAATATATAGAAACAATCTTTAAAAATCTTCTTCTCAAGAACCACAGGGCCAGAAAAGCTGAAACTAATGTAGAAGTATCCTGGGGTAGTGTAGATATAAATTGTTAAAAGCATGACCCCGGAGGGTAGGGCGGGGCCACAATAGGGAATCCAAGTTTTACATTGAAATATATAGAAACAATCTTTAAAAATCTTCTTCTCAAGAACCACTGGGCCAGAAAAGCTGAAACTAAAGTAGAAGTATCCTGGGGTAGTGTAGATTCTAAATTGTTAAAATCATGACCTTTGGGATAGGATGGGACCACAATAGGTGTATTACATGGGGGAAAGTCTGGTGAAGAACAGCAGGGCCAAAGTTACTCAGGTGAGCGTTGTGGCCCATGGGCCTCTTGTTCTGGTATTAAAATAATTTGAATTAATTTCCTTTGAATTGCATTTAACATAGGGTAGCACTGTGGCAGAATTTGAATTGCTTGTCTCCATAAAAGTAAATATTCATGGAGTTTTTGATAAATAATCTGAATTTGAAAATAGTTATTTTCCTGAGTACTGACGAGGGGAAATTACATTGTTGTGCATTGATTTTTGATTAGTATAAAAATGTTACAATTGTTGCAAAAATTAGATTTATTTTTAAAATAATTTAAAAATGCAAGCCCTATAGATATTTAAACATTTATATTATACCCCCTGCTTTATAAAGTGGGGGGGGGGGGGGGGGGGGGAGGTGTAGATCCATAGGTCCTTCCATACATCTGTTGCACTTGGAGGTATCCATCCCTTTTCCTCCTTTACCACTGAATAAAATTTGATGAGACTTATACAGAATCTTTATTACATAGTGTCATTGTGGACCTCCTATTTTATGTTTTTGCGGGTTCCCATAGCAAATCATGGACACTGCCATTCCTTCTATAATATTGGAGGTATGCATCTGTTATCTACAACTCCTCCTATACCAGTTGCCATTTTACATTTTGATCGGACAGATATTTTGGGTTAATTCCCATAGGAAAACATTGACTTTGCCATATGATTAGGTACCATTTTGTGAGCTCAGAGCTCACAGTACCTCTAGTTTAAACATTGATGCTTCTTTAAGAGAAAGTATTGTTTCTATGTTTCTATTATAGAAAATGCAAAATTTAATTAAGAAATCTTTGTAATTCTGGATGACCCTTTCATTAGGGCCCCGCAAAGATTTGCGAGTGCCCTATAGTAATCACTCTGTCTGTCCGTCTGTCTGTCTGTCTGTCTGTCCGTCTGTCATTCTTCCGTCCACAAATTTTCAGTTTTTTTCTAATAACATTTTTTTAGGGTTGACCAATTAAGTTCAAATTTGGTATGTTGGTTGAATAGGCAGTAAGACATATTTTGATGCTAAGTTTAGTTCTCTATGTCATTCGGTTTGGAGCTGGGGTGGTGGGGTATATTCCTTAATTTTATATAAGAGTGAATGGGCAAAGAGAGATAACTGCTGAGAAAGTTCCTTTTGTAAACTATGAAAGGCTGCAATGAGTCTCTTGGGATTAATTAACTTTCCTCTTGAAGAAAATCCAAAGCATTTATCTTTATCTGCCACATTGAGATTAATTAACACCTCTGTCTGCAAATGAAGTTTGTTTTGAAGTTAAGGTCAATTCTGAATGATGTTTACATTCTCTGAAATGTGGATTTAAATAATGTTCGTACTTTATTTTGGTAAAATACACAATGAGTTATGATTTTATTGAATTCTAAAAACAAGATATAGATAAAGATATCGTTTTTATTATTATTTTCTTTTTTCTTTTTTTTTTTCTGCCTTATGTAAATTCAAGAATACTTATTATTTTAACAGGTATTCAGATAATAACCTCATTCTATCATTGCTGAAAAAGTTCTTATTGTAAACTTAGAAGAAAAGGTTGAGAGAGCAGTATAATTAATCCCGTGGGTTTGATTATCTTGCTGGTTTGCAGAATATTTTAGACGGTTATCTTTCTGTCACTTTAAGATTAATTAACACCTTCGTCTGCAACTGATACTTGTTTTGGAGTTAAGGTTAAGCCTGGGGGATATTTGCATTCACTGAAGGCTGGCATTTTAGAAAACACATGCTTCATTCATTTTTAAATATACATTTAATTGAGTTATTATAGATATGATGTTTTTTACTGCCTTATGTAAATACAAGGATACTACATGTATTTACAGATTGTTGGATATTTAGCAGTTGCTGTTGCTTATTCTTTATATATTTTGAAATTTTTTGTAATCAAGTAAAATTCTCATCCCCTAATCTGCACCCTTATATTACTAACCCTCGGCGGGGCCCTTGCTGACTGGTCAGATTTCTAGTTTTATCCTAAGGTATGTTCAAACCAGCATCTACCAAGAGACATCTTGTTCATTTTTTATAAATACAAAATGTCCTCTTAAATTCTTTCTGATCATACCAGTAGTCTAAAATAACTTTGTAAGAGCACGCAATCATATAATATTGCTAACACAAACAAGTTTGATGTAAAGTAAAAAAAAGTTCCTTCTTCATGTAACAATAGATATAACAGTATTCTTCATTTGCATTCAATAGAAAAATGCATCAATAATTTAGGATTAGCATGGCATGCAATGTCTGTATTGGTTTCTTTCTCTGGATTTTTAAGGCAAATATTGTAAAACAATTATGTTTATCAGGAAAAGTTGACAGAGAACATATTGTATGAATGTCAAAAAAAAAATTATATTTTTAACAACATTCAGTTTAGAATGAATTAAAAGTACGCACTAGACATGAACAAATTTATTATGTACGTTTCAGTGCCTACAGAAGATATCTCCATGACACCAGACTCCTCCCCAGAGTAAGTCCATTGTCATGCTCTGATTCCTAAATATACAAGAACAGATCTTGAAATTACTTGCCTTATATTTTAATTATGCTGAAGTACATACTATTGTTCAACAGTCAACTCATTGTGTTCTTATGATTTAACGTCAATCATTTTGTGATAGGGCTGTCTGAAAGTAATTCTACATTTAATCTATCTATAACTTTTTGAGGAAGGGAGAAGAAAATTTTTAGAAAAAATTCGAACAAAATTTTGTTATTCAAAATTTTTAGAATATTTGATTAACATACATGTGAGTATTATTTTCAATAATAATTTTTTTTTTAAATTATTATTAAATCCACCAGTTTAAAAGATAGCCTCAGAGCATGAATATGCCAAATGTATTTCATTAAGAATGCAAAATATTGCCTATTTCTATGGAATACAGTTTTTAGTTTCTAAAAGTAACAACAAAATGGAATATTTATGGTTATAATCTTAAAATAAAATTGAAGACATGCTTCAAATGTAAAGATTATGTAGGGATAAAGAAGACATATACACCTGAAATGTTTATTTTTATTAATGTGTTGTTGCTGTTTTCTAGGATGACAAAGAAATCTTGGTTTGGGGCCCTGATGGGGAGTGAGAGGGAGGAGCATCACTTTATCATGGCCCAGGATAAACCCCTCAGTCAGGTCAAAGCTGATCTAGTCCACGCTCTGCTCTCGGTAAGTCTCCTGATGGGTTGTTGTCCTTATAGGTTAAAAATCACGTACATAATGTGAAATGCAAGTTACAACATGTATCTTTGAAATCAGAAGGATTTTTGAGACAGTCAGGGTGTTAAAATGTCAAACTTGAAAGAACGTTTTAATAGCAAAACAATAATAAACAGAACCAGAACTAAGCAAGTATATATATTGAAGTATTCTTGTGTAGTGAATATATATATATAAAAAAAACTTTCAAAATCCTGCTTTATTTGTTATGACTGTTGGTGCTAGGATGGGTCAACAGTAAGGGATGAGAGATTTTATACAGTAAGATTTACAGTTTATACTCTGAAGCAACAAGACTAAAATTTGTAACTGTTATAGCATTTGCAAACTGTTAAGTTAAAATTTGTTGAAATTGTGTGTGGTAAGTTTAGGGCCATAATTAGATTTTTCATTTATACTTTTATCAGGAAGAGAATTTTTGTCAGGAAAAGAAATATCTAAATTGAGTACCGAGGAATCATTAAGTATCGTGGGGGCTCAGGTTTCATGGAATTCTTGGAACTCTCATCCATGAATTAACACCCTCCACGAATTAATAAACAAGGGTTACAAAGACATATTTCCTTTTGTAGGGATAAGAAATTAAACAAAATTATGTCTCCTTGAACCTGTCAAATTTAAACAATCCACAAAAATTGGCCCCCATGAATTTTAATGATTCCACTATATTATTGCCCTTGAACCTCTTGTTTTTTTTATCACTAATTATCTTGTAGACTGCAGACCTGAGTCACAGTGTCATGTCTGCCACTTCATTCAGAGCAGAGTACAGAAGATCCGGAAGTTCTGCCATGTTTTCCAGAAATGTCCGATTTCAAATGGACATAACTCCAACACACGGTGGAAATCGGGATAGCGTTATGTACTGTCTCACATTCACACTTATATCAGGTATACACTCTACTTACAATACCCATTGTTTCTAAATCATTCTTTCAATTCAAAATTTGTGTAAATAAAGATGTACAGAGATTTTTATGGTTATAAATAACAGATATGTTTTTTAAATACAGTTGAACTTCGGTATCTCAAACACTGATATATCCAATACCATGGATTTGTCGAAGTGATTTGGAAGTCCCCAATGATTATGCTAAATTTTGAATACATGTATCTCAATTTATGTACATATACAGTATACAAAAACCTTTTTAGGGCCCTCCCGACGCTTCAAAAGAGTATGTGAACACCTCCAGACATTAATGCTGGGGCCTCGAGGTGATGCACTGAACCAGCGTAAGATCAGCACAGACAGTGCCTCCTCCTATACCTCAGAAACGGGGGAATCCCCACGACACAGCAGTTCAACTAGAGAAAATGGCGAAGAGGAGGTCAGTTAAAGCAGGCTCACTGTTATATCCCTGAGATCAAAAACATGGGGGGGGGGGGAGTATTGCTAGTTAACTTGAGCCAAGAGCTGAAGTGAGCTACCCTGATCTAGAGTGTCCAGATCCATCTGTTGTATTGCTTCATTTTTCAGTTTCTCCTTTTCCTTTAGAACCATAAAGCAATTTTCAACTAAGTTTAACAAAAACGTATTCTTGAATGATGAAGATTTAAATTTGTTTAAGTGAAGGGTTGAGTCCATATAAAGTTGAGATATCCGAAGGATGTATCAAGACCTTAATTGTAGTTCATTATACCCCTGCTCCGAAGGAGAGGGGGGTATACTCTTTTACCCTTGTGTGTCTGTCTGTCTGTCTAGCTGTGTGTCTGTCCGTAACAAATTTTGTTCACAGTTTTCTCAGCAACTACTCATCGCAGATGCTTGAAATTTTAGCACACTCTTTGTTTAGGCATGCCATATGGTGGGATTCATTTTTGTATGAATTCCACGTCAACTTGCTGTTTTTCCGTTCGTCTGTCCGTACCATACATAACAAATTTTGGTCGCAGTTTTCTCAGCAACTACTCATCACAGATGCTTGAAATTTTAGAACACTCTTTGTTTAGGCATGCCATATGGTGGGATTCATTTTTGTATGAATCCGATGTCAACTTGCTGTTTATCTGTGCGTCTGTCTGTACCATACATAACAAATTTTGGTCGCAGTTTTCTCAGCAACTACTCATTGCAGATGCTTGAAATTTTCTCTTTATTTAAGGATGCCATATGTTGGGATTCATTTTTGTAAAGATCCATTGTCCACTTCCTGATTATCACTGTGTCTGTCCATAACTGAACTTGTATATTCACATCAGAGAGGGGGTATTATTAGTGAGCATTGGCTCACAGACTTCTTGTTTGGATGAGTTAAAGGTTACTGGCAGATATGTAAAATTTGTGTTTTTGGCAATTACTTTGTATTTGTAAAAATTGGAAGTTAATGGTGAAACAGTTAATATGTGGGCTATGTCAAGGTTACTGGCATTAAAACATTTTTACATTGGCAAACATAGCTACAAAATGTTGCTCAAAAACTTGAAAATGTATCATGCACTGGACCTGTGGTTCTATACTCCAGATTACTGTTGGAAATAATGACGTAAAAAAGGGGAGGGGGGACTTGCGGTATCATTAATTTTTTACCTGAAGTTGACATATGTAAATACTTTGCATGACATTTTTGCCAGGTATTTGAAAGATATCCAAGTTATAGAAATTCAAAGACACCAACTCCAACAAGAAGAGAGGTTCCTCGTGTAATTACAAACGGCAAACGGGCCATAGTGGACCACAGCTTTAGGAAAGACAAACTCTGACACCTCAGACATAATGTAGCCCTGTCTATACTTCCTCTGATGTCTTTAGATGATTGACTGTATCTACTAGACTTAATAGTACACTGCCAATAAAGAAATGGCCGTTCTGAATAGGGATTACTGTGATTATTGGAGTGAATTCAATGAAATTGCAGAAGACTGTGAATATGTTTAATAGCTAATGAAAGGCAAGTATTATATGTGATTTTTTGACTTTGTTTAACTGTCATACATCTTAGGTTGCTTTTTATTTGTATGAGTACCTAATCATTAAAGCAAATTATTATAGTTAATTACTGCAACCTTTTTTTTATCCATCATCTCACAGAGTCACGACTGATAGTATTTGTAGTTCAACATATGTGCTGAATTTTAAATATGCTAAAATATGTATAATATTGAATGTTAAGTTATATGAAAAAAGAGCGAAAGTTTGCGGAGGTACCCACACTTTAGTGAGTGATTGTAATGATAATTGCTGACACTCCAGTACAAAACCCAATATAAGATACACAATAGTAATTTCAGCATTGTACACAAGGAGATTTTTAAGAACCTTTTTACTTTTGCTCAAGTGCAGTACAAAATGATTTTGCTTTTGTTTAAAACTAGCCGGATGTTTTCCCAGTTACAAAGTAAAGAAGTGTGCTTGTTGTTTCATTGACTTAATTTACCCATTGACAACAAATGTGTTAAGGGCAAACATGAAATGGAAGGAAAAACAGTAAAGATTCACTTAATTGAAGTCATTTTCTGTGATTAGATAATGTGCTTGATATTGCAATAGAATTTAGTGATGATTTTTTTTTAAATTCTAGAACAGTAAATTATGTTGATGTATGGCATCTATTTTGTAATCAAGTTCATAGTAACACTATAAGAGTTAACCAGTTATTTCTGTGTGATATGATGTGATAACCCTGAGCAGGAATGGAATCATCAAAAATGTTAAAGGTGTCAGAAAAGGAATTTTTATATATCATACTGTACTAAATTATCACTGTATGCATGCCATTATGAATATTTAAAGGTAGATGTTTGCCAAATACATGTACCGTTTTGAATTTTTAATGTGAAGTAACAAATGTGCTAAATAAACTTCTTTTCATTGTAATTGTGTAACATTGGCTCTTGTAATATAACATTTTTGCATTGTCGTTTTGATCATCATTTCATCAAACCACAATATGATTTTATTCTCTATGTCCTCTTCAAGTCTAATACATTTCTGAGGACATTTTCTTTGAAATAGATTTTTTTGAACATTGCAACTATGATTCTTTTTTCAGTAATCTTCATATAATTTAAGGGTAAATGCCATGAACATATATTATGAATTATATTTTATCATACTGAACAGTTGGCATGCAACATTATCTTATGTTCATTCCAGCAGGGCACTTTGTGATGTAAAGTCTTTATGTTTCTTTCACCATGTCTGAAAATAAAATAAAAAACAATAAAGACTACCAGGCTGTGTTTAACGTTAGATTTAACCAACTTAAGCCACTGTAAAGGCTGACTATTTATATGTCGGACTTTATCTGGGCATTGTCTCTTTGTGTCCAATCTTGAAAATGTAAAATAATAAATTCAGAAAGTACGTCACTAACCTTTCTTGGGGCACAAAATGCATTTAGGATTGGTGACAACATGTCATAGTTTTCAAACTATGCAAGTTAAAAGATTTTACAAATTCAGAAATTAAGTTACTGTGACCTACTTTTTAGTTGACACCCCCCCCCCTTCTGTGGGGCCACAAAATGCATCAGTTATTTAGGTTTGGTGACCTTTAAGGTTGATGTGTTTGAAATATATAGGTTCAAAGATTTTACAATAAGTCTTAGAATTCAGAAAGTAGTCACTGTGACCTTTATTATTGAAACACCCAAAGAACCCAGGATACATCAGATGATGAAGTTTGATGATTATAGGTTCAAAGATTTTACAATAAGTCTTAGAATTCAGAAAGTAGTCACTGTGACCTTTATTATTGAAACACCCAAAGAACCCAGGATACATCAGATGATGAAGTTTGATGATTCTAAGCCTCTTAGTAGCCGAAATATTTAGATATAGCCATGAAATTCAAAAATAGGACACTATGTCCTACTTTTTGATTGATACACACCAAGGCCTCAAGCTGTGTCAACTGACAAGGTTTGATGCTTCCTAGTCTTCACAAGTGTTCTAAAATATGCATTTATAATGGTTTGGGCCATGGATATCGGCCTGGGTAGCTCAGTCGGTAGAGCACCTGACTAGTGATGCAGGGGTCCCGGGTTCGATTCCTGGTCCAGCCATACATTTTCTCCTTTCCTGTTACAAATTTGGTGCCGTTGACCACCCCTGGACTTGCAGGTGAAAGTCCTGCTAGGGGCAAATAAGAACTTGGGTTGTGTCTTTGAGGGCGAAAACAATTTAAGGAGGGAGGAATGTATTGGTTTGGGCCGTGGATATCGGCCTGTATAGCTCAGTCAGTAGAGCACCTGACTAGTGATGCAAGGGTCCCAGGTTCAATTCCTGGTCCAGCCATACATTTGTTCCTTTCCTGTTACACATTTATAATGATCTGAACATGAATAGCTGTGAAATACAAAAAGTATGTCACTGTGACCTACTTTTTGGTAAAGATATCCCAAGGCCCCAAGATGCATCAACTGACAAGCTTTGATGATTCTTGGCCTCTTTGTATCCAAGATAAAAGATTTGACAATGAGTAATGATAAAGTTGAACAAGAGGCCCTTGGGCTACAATGCACACCCAAGTCACTTTGGCCCCGCTATTTTTCATTTGTAGTTTTTTTTTCCTTCCCTCTTTAATTTTTACTTCATATTGTGGACCAAAATCTAGCCATACGAGAGCTATGGGAGAGAACTTTAATCAAAGTTGAATCCACATTAACATTGGGATATTACAATCAACATAACTCAGATGTATTACAGATTTTTAGCTCTTCTGAGCCAAAGGCTCAAGGAGCTAATTAAATGCTATGGCCATGTGTCTGTTGTACATCAACTTTTTTGGAATATGAGCCATATCGCAAGAACCCCTTGGCAACTTTCTGCCAAATGTCACAGAGTATCCTTGGCCAAAGGGCTTTCATTTATACATGTATTGAAAATGGGGATGTGCCTCTTACACAAAGGGGGAGGAGGATAATTAGGGAAATAAAAGTAGTAGTTGCTAATAAACTCTCTCAGTAACCACTCAGCAGATTATCACCAAATTTATGCATAAGGAGATGTTGTAGATTAAAATTGTTTATGGCATCACCCTGAGGTAAAGGGCATGGTTTCAAAGACACTTAATTAAGAGTTGACCTGAAATTATATTTTGATAAAACTTTGTTATTTTGCCCGCTATAAGGACTTAGGATCATCAAATCTTGTCAGTTGATGCATCATAGGGCCTTATATTAAGTTGACTCAACAGAATGTCACAGTGACGTACTTTTTGAATTTTGCAGGTATTCATTTTAAAATAAATTTTGATGCATATCTTGGACACTGAAATCTATGATCATCAAAACCTGTCTGCGTATGCATCACTTGGCTGTAAAGTGTGTCAGCCAAAAAATAGGTCACCTTGACTTACTTTCTGAAATTTACGGCTAATCATTTTCAAAACATTTTACTTTATTATTTTGGATATTGAGAGGTTTAGAATCATCACTTTGTAAGTTGGCATCTTGGGGTCCTGAAACAATGTATTTATGAAGAAGGTCACAGTGAACTATTTGTTGAATTTTGCAGGTGTTCATTTCAAATTGTTTAAGAAGCATATTTTGAACTCTGTGAAGCTTAGGATCAAACCTTGTCAGTTGATGCATAGCTCGTAATAAATACAGCTGATTCATCAGAACTTTAGCTCTCTTAGAAAGCTGGCAGGGCAGTTTATCATACAAGTTCCACATTTCATGGAAATATACACTCCTGGACAAACTATACTTTTTTCAAACCCACAGAATTCAGGTCTATTGAGATTTGGTAATTAGTGTCCTTTATTGTGTTTGGAACCTTTATTTTTGTTGCTGTTCAGCAAGTTATAATATCCAAGGAGTTCTCAGTAGCTCTGGTGAGACTGTAAGTATTTTACAGAAGTATAGCTATGAGTAGTGTTGTACTGATAGGCATATGGAGACATGATATTACATTAATAAAAGCTTATTGAACTGTTGGCATAAAATTCACCATATTGTTACACAAAGAATCTGGGGGAATAAGACGAGCCATGTGCCCATGCCCATTTTTCGGCTATGCAAGAACATTTATTGGAAAAAATCTCTCAATTGTTCGAATTTACTTAAGCATTTTAATGTTTACCGTAGTTTTCAAAATGATATTTACATTATAAACAAGCTAAACAGTTGACTTTCATTTACTGTCACATATGTCTTACATGGGTAAAGACTTCTATTTAATAATTAATCTGCATATTGAGTGTTTACTCTTATTGTGGAGATATTATAAAAATGTTAACATCGTATATAATGATAATGGTGATCTAGAAGCGCTTTTATTTAAAATAAATAAAAACGGGAATAAAAGTATTCAAATATCTATTATAATTTTTATCCGGCATTTTAAATAATTTACTGTAAATAAGTTCATTACTACATGTATATATTTTATTTCCAGTGAAAAATATGTTATTCCTATAGACATTTTTTTAATAAAGTAAAAAAAAAAATCAAAAAAAAAAAAAAAAAAATCAAAAAAATCAGAGCATGACTCGAACACTTTCCTCAATAAACGTCCATTTAAAGAGCTCCTCGCTAACCACTAGACCACGGAGTCACACTAACGTGTCTCTTTAAATAGCATACAGTTCTCTATATTTAGCAAGCGTTTTTGAACTTAGAATTTTTTAAGACCACGGTGAAAATTTAAGTAAGTTAACTTAATTTTTTATGTAGAGTGGGTCTTCATACCAAATTTTTGCAAGTGTAAAAAGCAACATCATTCCATTGCCTTTCATTAATCGTTCTCAAAAAAATGGTACGATGACCCACTCTATTTAAAAAATGTAGTTATATCATCCAATTTATGTCAGTTTCTGTGAAAATTGAGCGTGATGCCATTTTGTTGTGTTAATCAGAATCATTTTCGCTGTTACAGTATTCATGTTTTGTCAAATTTGTATGCAAATGGTAATAAGCATTACATTAATTCAACAAAAAGTGAAATTTTTGTAAAATGAATTTATTGATTTTTTATCGATCGTTATGTAGGCATATGGCTCGGCTTATCCCCCCAGTTTCTTTTTATAATTACAGAAGATATATCGAGTGGGTACATTGTACCCTAAACTCCTCTTAAATATATATATATATATATGTATATATATAGTCAATGTGTAGTGTAGTACAGTTGAACTTTGGTATCTTGAACACCTATATCTCATATACCATGGATATGTCGAAGTGATTTGGAAATCCCAACTACTCATTTTTTAAGTATTTTACCCTTGGTATCTCAAATCCTAGGATATCTCAAAGTTTTTCTCGGTCCCATCGAGTTCAAGATAACAAGGTTTGACTATATAAAGCTTTCCAACAACACTGCATACAGAATAAAAATGTAATTGCAGTAGACAATACACTTTCCCCATATTTAAAAGAAACAAATGATAGCATGTAGATGTTTTGCTTACTACCAAACTTATTTGTTGAAAATGGTTCTAACCCACAGCCTTTGAATGGGTTAAGAGAAATACATGTATGACCAAGTTATAATAACATTTTCATGAGTGCCACATACAAGTATTTTCACCCTATCAAAGTAATTGCAAATTGTCAAATGTCTCCACTCTTTACATTAAAGTATTACTCATTTCCAGTGGAAGAATATAAAATTAAAGGCAAACTACATGTAAATCAATCTCGATTCAGTAATATTCTCCATCTAAGGAAGAGATAAGGAAAGAAAACACATAATATTCTCAAGTTCTGAAATTTTAATTGTAAAGGTCCGATGTTTTAACACACCAACATCTATGATCATGGACCAAACAATATAAAATCAATAGAAAGCATGAGGGTTGCATTTCTTCTTGTACAGTGGATTTGCAATATTTTCCTATTTTTTTTTAATTTATTTTTTTTTTTTTAATTTTTTTCTTTAAATGACTTAATTTCAGTAGTAGTAAACACACACAGTACCATGTACTGAGAAATTAGCACTTCACATGGCATTTTTCATTATGTGTTTAATACTACTGTGACACACATCATTGGAAACCTTCTCTTGGTCTCACTTTTCTCCCCAAGAGGCAAGAGAAGCGAAACTAATCCTGGATTTCCAATGATGTGTGACACACTGTTCCATTCTTATGCTGCAGCTTTAAGATTTCCCTTTTTAATTCTTGTTGATTGCTGTTGAATTTTGCCCTACCACACCTACAAGGTGCTCTGCACAAAACCAGAAGTATTGTGGAACATTTTCCTTTCAATACCCTAAAAAAATTAAT